TGACAGCGATGAGGACGGTGTTCGGGGAGATGCAGGGAATTTCCTATAAACGCGTAAAGCCCGAAAACTCGACGAAAAGAAAAAGAGAGCATTCCTGCCCGCCATATTCTCCACCTTCCCTTCGCTCCCGGCCATCCCTGTTTCTCTCCCCTCCCTTCGCACGTGTGCGTGAAGAATTGTCGAAATTGCGAATACCAGATCCGGAAGAGACGGACGACGAATTAAGTTTTCGCGTCACGCCATAATCGAAATCACGCGAATTATCTGACAAATGTGTGTAACACATTCGTCCAATATGAGATAACTTTCAAATCAATACTTGAGCAACGATCATCACTATCGCCGTTACGCCGCGAGCAAATATTTTGGTCGGAACTTCAAAAAATGAGAGCGAGAGACATTACCGAAAGTAGAACGGGCTTCGGGAGAAAACGAAAAAAAAAGCCAGATATTATATCCTGCGGCCATGTCTCCTCCCGCGTGAAACGCATAGAGAATTCGAGATCGCCCGGGCGCGCGCGCGCGCGCGCGCACGCTCGCGTCCGCTCGTCGCACGTGCGTGCCTGCGTGTGCGCGGGGAGGCTGTGACTCATCCTGCGGGAGAGGGAGAAAGAGAACGAATCCTGTTTCCCGCGGCAGGAAACAACGAGTGGGGGTGGGGATCGATATATCGACTCGAGAAACACACTCCTGCCGTTAGCGGGAACTGCGTAGCTTCAAGGTCCTCCCTCACACCCCCTCCGCGCTCCTTTCTACGTTTTCCTCCCTGCTTCCTACCGCCCCTGAGCCCCGCGACGGAGTCGATTTTCTCGGGCTGACTCGGAAGCGGCCCGCCTTTTCGTTCATTTAAATTCGCGAGCGAGAAACGCTCGCTTTTATACCCGGCCTATACGATAACTCCGCCACGCGTTCGTCCTTCTGTTCCCAGAGCGTTATCGTCAAGTCGACGAACTCAATCGTGCCGTGAATACCCGCATCGGAGATAACAGCGAATAATTTACCAAACTCGAAAGAATTTTTTCTAAGGAAATGGAACGGCGTAATGGGACGAAGAAATAAAGAAGAGGGCGGGATATTCCACAAAGATATTCCGCGACAACACTGCTAACGACTTAAATTTGAGCCGAAAAGTTCGCGGGGAGGGGGGGGGGAGTATCACGCGAGAGTGTCAGCTTGCAATATTAATTAAATATCGTTGTTTCGCCAAGCAGCGAGATCCGCGTTGTTTCAATGCCTCTTTCAACTCAATCAACTCTGTATTAACTGTTTCATCTCATTATCGAGTCCGTTTTTTATTAACTTTCCTATTCATCCTTTAAACGGAGAAGTTTATCGTCGATTATGATTAATTGAAAGTTCCATGATTGAGAACGCACTAAAATAAGCGTCAGTCGACGTCATCGAGCGAGATTATGAGATAAACGCAGTCGCTTTCGATATTGCGTTCCAAAACGTTACACCGAGAAAGAGATGAAACAACGCTGATGCGCAGCGTTTGGTCATTTTTAATGCTCGTGCCGCGACGGCACGAGCCCGGCGCATTATTTTGCCGTGACGAGGAGCGAACGGGTTGATTGGCCTGCCGTCAGATAACCCTGAGCAGCCGAGAATTGTATCCGGTTATCGTGCGGTTATCGCTTTAAGCGAATAACGCAAAAAGCATTGGTAATGCACTCCGCGGGACTCGCCGCCTCGCCGGGACGAGCTGAGTTTCGCGCTGCGAGTTAACGTAACCGAACCCTTGTCCGCGCACGAAACAGATCCCCTTTTTCTCTCTGCCCTCCTGCCATCGCCCGACGCCCGCCCGTTCTCCTGGTTCGCCTTTTCGCTGGCTTTGACGGGCTTCCGTTGTTTCGATTTATCGAGAAACCGGAACCGAGACGCCACTTCACCGTGGCCGCCGCTCGCATTTATTTTCGTCCTTCGCGAAAGACAATTCGCAGCTGCGGAGTACTTATATACGCGGGCATCGATCTCCGTCTGTTTGCAAAATTATCGGGTTGAATCGTCGAGCGGCAAAATGCAACGATATCACAGACCTCTGTACACTAGACTGCTATATTCGAGGCTATTGCAAGCTGATGCTCTCGCGTGATCTCCCTCCGAACTTTTCGGCTCAAATTTAAGTCGTTGGCAGTGTATATGATAAATGTTCTTACGCGCTCCGTTAATTTACTATACAATTCGCGGAATATCTTTTCGGAATATCTCGTCCTCTGCTTCCAACTTAGACTGCTATCTTCCGAGGTGAAAAGTGAGGCAAGAGACCCGCCATGTCTCACCAGTGAGAACACTAACGTCGAATCAGCGTTGAATCATCGTCAATGGGGTCGAAACCGCGTCTCACCCCGTCAGTTTTCGAAAATAATTAAAAGTTTTGGAACTTAATTGTTTTTGTATTACATTTTGTGTTAAAATTCATTTGTATTAATTCGTATCAAATAAGTTAACTTGGCAGATCTCTCCAATAAGATAAAGTTCCAAAACTTAATTATTTTCGAAAACTGACGATTGGGACGATTAGTGTTCTCACTCGGTTATTAGGTAAATAAAGTAGTATGTGTGCATCGGTACGTTACTGACAGACCGATGCATGCATATTACTTTATTTACCCAACAAGACATGGCGGAACACTTGCCTCGCTTTTCAGCTCGAAGGTAGCAGTGTGTCTAGTAGGTATACGTTGCATTTGCCGAGGCGCGACACTGTGTAAGAGGAGCAGATATGAAAACTTCGGTGTGTTGATCGTTTTGTGTTCTTATCCGTTATCCGAGAGCAGCGAGTAAGAGCGGTGCGAAGGCGCGCCGAAGATGCGGTGGGTCAATGATCCATCGTGTTTATGAGAAATCGGGTCAAAACAAGGAGGAAGGCGATAAAAATCAGACCGGCAGCCAGAGGGAAGGGTGGATACGGCCTCTCGACAGCAGGTGTGCGATGAACTCGCCAGAGTTCTTTCTCGCGGGCAAAAGGAAAGACAGAGCGGGGACGGCCGTTCCTTCCCCTGGGATAAAAGAGGGTGTTAAGTTCTAGGGGGTGCTGGGTTGTTGTGACGGCGCGCCTACACAGCGGTCTTCGACTTCTAGCGATCTATCATCCTTTTCTTTCGGGCCCCGCGCCGACTTTCAGCGTCGACCAAAAATAGTCCTTGGAAATCTGACACGCTGGCAGATATAGGAGAAGGATCGAGCGTCTGGAATTGCGTGACCTGGGGAAAATGGCAAAATCCGAAATTTCGTAACTTGGAAAACGCCGCCGGAGAATCTCAGTCCTGTCGCGCCGGTGCGGCCGATCAGGAAATAAGGAATTCACGACAATTCTTACGATCACTTGGTCCCGTTAAATGCCGATTAGATTAGAGCGCGCTATCGGCAAGTGCGTCGATCAACGAAATGCTAATTGATAAATGGCGGCATGTTATCGGCGGACTTGTATTGTGGCTGCGTCGCCGGGGCGGGACGTAGGTTCGGTGCGCGTGTCGCCGGCAAACAACGACTGTTTCTGAACGAGAAACGAAGTTCGATACGCGATTATTATGACCCGCGGTGAGCCTTGAACTTGCCCTACGATAAGCGAGGCCGCTTTACGAGTCGTTGTTGCTGCGCGCCTCGCCTTCTCGAGGCATCGAACGTTCGCCGTACAATCACCGCGGCTGCGTATACATATGTGCCGCGCGTTCTTGGATTGCTAATCAGATAGCGGCGATTTTTCAGCAAATTGCTCGTTTACGTTGCGCACGCGATCGAATTTACGTATCGCCTGTAAAGAGTCGACTCTTTGTTTGCCGCGGCTATTTGGACATTTTGAAAGATCTACTGTGATTCAAAGCGAGATTTATATCACCTGTTTGCTATCGTACGTACCTGTCGGGATGGGCAATTTCAAATCGGCCCTGATCAAACGCAGAATTATAGGTAGTTCCGCGCCATCCCTACTAGTGCGGTAGCAGCTGAACAGTCAGCCAGTCAACCCGCCAACCCCCTATTCAATGTCGCTACAATAATAAACCACCTCCGGTTATCTGTATTTCTGTATTTCCCTCAGGGATTCACGGCATATTCCGGCATCGAGGCCAAGTTCAAACTGTATGTATATATAACGCTCGTCTCTAACAGCGTTTTATCTGCACGTTTATATCTCTTTACGGTTACGCATCGCGCACGTCTATCGAGATTTCAGTAAGCAAATACGAGACGAGTAATTCAATCCATTATTTGTCCAGTTGAAACAACGTTTAACGCAAATCGCTCTCGACAAAAATACGAGTCTTATTCTGTTGGGGAAACAACAACGTTCTATTGAATATACAGGAAATACTGGCGTATGCGAATGAGGCTTAATCCTTCTTGTGGATGTACCTCAAGGCGCGACACAACGCGCTAACTCTACACTTCTTGTTCCATGGCCGATGTGTGTGCAGGGTGTCCAGCCGATAAGGGTTGTCGGCCGTAACAAGAACTGTCGATGCGCGATTTTTAAATATCCCTGTCCCCTCCCTCCCCCCCCCCCGCTCCATTTGCCCAATTACAGAGGAACACTAAAGCTAACGGCACACGATACTATCTGTCCTACTGGATTGCGTACGAGAGCCAGTCAGGATGCAGAGTTTCAGATCGGGTGACTTAAGGCTAAATCCTGATTGGCTCTCATAAGCAATCCAGTAGGAAAACTAGTATCGTGTGCCGTTGACACATGTGAAGGCGTTATGGTAACTCTACACTTCTTGTTCTGTGATCGATGTGTGTGGTAATTTGCGTTCTCGCACACGTGCAGGATTCATATATTTTAAGTGATTCAAGTCATCACACTGTATTCTAATATTAATAAAGTTCGCATTATATTGTTGGTATAACAATATGTACGGGCTATACAGTTCTCTTACACATAATTCCAATATCAGTCGTCCATTCTCAAATCAAACTTGAAGATATTGTTATTCGCAGACGACGTGGAAGAATTTTAAATGAATGTCGATAACGCGATTTGTTTTGGGTTAACTCACCTTCTTCTCCGTCAGCTTCTCGCATCTCCTCATCTTACAGATCTGATGGCTCTTGTCGTTTCTGCACGGCGCACAATCTCCGCAATTGTCCTTGCGCTGGCAGCCTATGCACTCCCCGCATCTCTTCCGCTTTTTCTTCGCCGGCTTGTCGCCAAGGCCACCGTCACCGTCGCCATCGGTCATACTCCCGCCGAGGTGGTGCACGCCGCGATTCGCGGTGGACGAGACGGCGGCGACCTGACCGGAACTTTCTACGCTGCCGGTGCCAGCACCGCCGCCACCGCCACCATCTTCCGACTCCATTGAACCAGCGCGGATTTTTCTGCGCTCCTTTTTACGGCCGTCGATGCCGATCGGCCGTGAAGTCGGCGAGGAGTCCAGCATGGTCGACATCGGGTTTTGAAAATTCGCGTGGTGCAGTTGCGGATATTCGGGTTTCACTACCGTCAGCACCGCGTGATGCGGTGGCGGCGGCGGGAACGGCTGGATCATCGAGTTGGAGCCCAAGAGCTGTATGTGTCGCTCGTCGATCATCTGCTGCTGTAGAGACGGGACCTCTCGAGCTTGTACTGGCGCCGGCACCAGCGGGTAACCTACCGCTCCGCGATGCGGTGCCGGAACCGGTGTCCCAAGCGTGTGAAAGCTCGGCAGGCCCACGGCCGATGTAACCGGCGGCGAGTGCGAAATGGACGCCGGTGATAGTGGCGTCAACGATGTCAGCTGAGGTTCAGATTCGCTTGGGGCGGTAAACTGACTTGCAAAGCTGGGCAGTCCGTCCACGCCGCCGCCGCCTTTCGACTCCCAGGGTCTGTATTGGCTAGCCGAGACCAAAGTCGACATATCGACTAGCCGGCTCGACAGGCCCTCGCTAGTGTAGTATGAGTCCCAGCCCACAAGGCTCGACCCAATGTCCTGGGCGTGGAGCGTCGTCAACGTCGTCGAGGTGTCCATCGTGTTCTCGCCGGCGAAGCTGCTGAAGGGCGGCAGGTGCCGCGCCGTCAGGTCGCCAGTGCCGACCGTGCCCGGTGAGGTCGTGATTGCCGCCGCCGGAGGGCTCGTTGGGACCCTCTCGGTGGCGACGACCTCCTTCGTCACCTCGATTGCGCTCATCTTCCTCGCCACGTCATCGCGCAACAACTCCTCCACTTCGCTTGCGAGTTTCACGTCCCGACGTAGCGGTGGTCCTGTCTCCGAATCCTCCCGAGGATCGCGCGAGCGGTCCCTCTCGCTCGTTCCTTTTAAATCCGAAGGCTCGAGATTATCTGGTCTTCTTCGAGCGGATACTCAACAAAATTCTTGTACGCGACATTGGTGCCTCTCTCGATCGACAGATTCCCGTTAATTTGCCGAATCGGATCCTAAAGGTCCGACTTCCCCGATGATGACGGAATGTCGTCCCTGAATTGGCATCCGCGGTATTCGCCCAAGTCCTTATTGCGATGTAGATTCCCGAGTAGTCACACTTGTCTGGAACTGACCCGTGTGTCTTCGGTCGCACGTTAGTCTTCCAGGCAATTGTCTAGTCTTCGATATTACGCTCGTCCTCTCGTTCTTCGTTTTTCCTTTCTCTTTGTTTCTGTCTACCTATAACTTTAACTCTGTGTCGTTTTGTACTCAACAGGTTTAGGCTACGAACTGAAGTAGATCGGTTGCTCTGGGAGTGTTCAAGCGAATCCGGTTGATTCCTCCCTTTGTCTGCTTCTTCTTCTTTTCGCTTGGCGAAAATCTGTCACGTGACGCGTCCAGTTTAAAAAATGCACTTATATTTTATGGCTATTTCTATAAACCTCTACAAAATTGTATGCCGGCTCGCTTAATTAATCTGGCTCTGACGAAGAAATCGGTGTGTGTGTGTGTGTATGTGTGTGTGTGTCTCACTATTATTTCACTTGACGAGAGATTATCGTTATTCGATGAATGATTAATAGAAAAAAAAATGGTAGATTCTTTGGTTTACGGTCCTGCTCTCGCACTGTATTACTCTGTCGCTCTTGCTTTCTTCCTTCTGTTTTAAAATGCTGCACGTTTGCACTCGATCGCGTTTATTCTTATAGAATTTGTAGATAACACTGCGTATGTTTGCCTAAAAGGTTGTTTCATTTATACTCCAAGACAAAATAAATCTTATTCTATTCTACTCTACTCTCTCGCTCTCTCTTTCTCTCTGTTACAATGATCACTTTCACCTTGCTTTCTTTCTCAATTTGGCACTGGCGGACTTGTTTATTTATTTGTTTGTTTTTATCTGTTTCTTGTCTTCCTCCTTTAGTTAGATATATTTTATACACTTATTAGCTAATATAGCTCTTAATCTTTTGTCTTCTTCTGAACCTAAGCTCTTGGGATATCTTCTTTTTTTTGTGTGTTCCTTCTTTAAATCGATATAAACATACTAATTACATATTTCTTTCGCGTTTCGTAAGAAAATAGAAATCACTTGAGGTTAATGTGGCTTGTTAGAAGGCGGTTGATTTGTACGATCTGAAACAGAAAATAGAGATTTGTCCATCAGATATTTGCGACGTTTCTGCATAATTAAAAAGTAAAAATCTCTCCCGGCCACGATAGAACGCACGATCGACGTTAACTGATCAGTAAAGCGCGACTTGCACGTTATACCGAGGGTGGAAAAAATCAACGAAAAAAAAAAAAATGGGGCTGCAAGCGCGGATCAGAGAATACGTTATACATCACGCGAGCGGTAGCGCGCACGTGACGCGAGACTATGCGAGAATGTGTCACAGACGTTGCTTATAACGTGACCATCGCTAAGCCAAGGCTACTATTACGTTGGTATTCGCACACCAACTCGTACGTTCGCTTTGATACTCGCGTACGTTGCGCCTAGCCGTTTCATTCACGTTGTTTAGAAGACCGCCGATGGCTTTGAACTCGCATCATTCCGAGTGGAGCAACTCGATCGAAGACAGAAAAGACGAACGTGTTAATCATCGATGACAAAGACCGGTTTGGCGAACTCGAGAATTTCGCAAATAATTTGAAAAAAAATTAGAAAGTGAAAAAGAAAAAGTTTCATCAATTTCATTCTCGAACGTAATGGATCTGTCTTTCAGAAATTAATATTTAAAGTGTTAGAATAGACGCAGGGTATAACAATAAGTCGCGAGAGTTTCGTCGCCGTCGTTAAAATCGGGCTGCTAGCCCTCCGCGAAATATCGATCGATGTTTATTCTCTCGTTTTCTCGCTGCTCCTCTTTCTCCTAGCCGTCTCCACCCGCTTTTCTCTCTGCCCCTCTCTCTCTCTCTCTCTCTCTCTCTCTTACACACACACACACACACACAGTCAGTCAGTCACTCACTCGCTCGCTCGCTCGCTCACTCACACGCACGCACGCACACCATAATGCGTACGACACGAATTCTGCCACAGGGTGGCGAAAACAGCACGGACTCGTTATTCACGTACAATTTAATCTTAGACGTATAATTTTTAATATGAACAAAAGAGTGAGGACATTTGAACCAGATAAAAATTACGGAGGGTCATTGCATCGGTACAGCCGCGGAACTCGTTCCGATTCTACAGACGGAAGGGTTGGCTAGAAAATAGGATCGTCCCTCTACCCCGTAGACGACCCAGGTAACCTGCGCGTAACATGGCTTTCGCAGAGCACGCAGATATATAGGCGGTGATTGCTCCCGCTATAGCGGTTGCTTTTCCATCCCCCGCCCCGCCGTCCCGTGTTCAGCCCTCAAACTCTAATAGCTTTACAGCTGTGACCGCCCGGTGCTTTCGCTATCGCTGGAAACTTGCACTGTCGTTTGGCCAGCACTTTCGCTCGCGGCTTGACCTTGCGCAGATGCTTCCACTATTTTGCGCTGCACGCAAGTGATACCGTTTACTTTGCACGCGCGTACGCACACACGCACACATATACACAGACAGATATTATACGTGCACATTAATAAACACGAAAAATTAAAACTTTATTTCGAATTAAATTTTGTTTATTACGACAAACTAAAATTGTTTGTTCTTTAACTTTTTGTAATTTACAGTTCAGCTTTCGTTGAGTCGTTCTTGCAATTAATATGCACGCTTATGCGGACGTATGAAATTCTATTTTATCCAATCTGATCATGAATCTATAATTAATACACACTATTTATGTAGATCTTAATAATTGGATAGTTGAGTGAGTTTTCTAAGAGGACCCTTTAGAGGGTTTACTCGTCTCAGCAATTGAACTTTGCTAATGTCCATAAATCTTGGTCTACACTGAATATCGCGAACTTTAGTCTTTAAAGGTCGCGAATCTCGTGCCGATAGTGCGCGCATAAATTCTGGATAGTAGCATATTATTCTTTGTTCCGAACGATAACTTTGTGCAAGCCAAGTTGCGAGATAAAGATAGATTTAAGACAGTTGCCTTTTCCGTAAACCCAATGAGAAGAAAACGGTGGTTGTACAATAAAAATATCTTGGAAGTTGAAAGATAAAGGATTCGATTGTTTCTCCAAAGTTTGTGAATAATTGAATACACTTAATTTGAGACCACTGCATGGATAAAAGCGGAGGATAAAAGCGACTTTGTGGCAAACGCAATGGACATAAAAGTAACAAAATTTAATTCTCAATTTCTTGCCGTGCGCGTAAAAATAATGCGACACCCGTTAGTTCTGTATCTCCGGTTGCACTTTCGTCGAATCGACTGTAGGTGCATGCACAAAAATTCAATCTCACCGTCGCCCGCTACATATAGGGTGATTTAAAAGAATGTGCGTCGATCCTTGGATTTCTATCACTAAATGATCGCTTCGTTTCCTAGCACGAAATATCGATTTAGGGCCCAATTAATGAACTGCTCGAGTTCAAAATTACAATTCATCGATTTCCGCTCCGAAGTAAATAGCATAAGGTATGAGGATGAAAAATATTATTTGGTAGTACATTTTGTTTCGAAAAAGAATAAATGTTAAACTTTCAATTCTCTCTCTCTCTCTCTCTCTCTCTCTCTCTCTCTCTCTCTCTCTCTCTTTCTCTCTGCAACAGTGAAATGTACAGAATCAGTATGTTGTAATAAACGCTTTGGGTGTGGGTTTTCACGAAGAAGATATGAAATCCCTCCGAGAAGAGAATGTAGGCATTGAGGGACACCTTTTTTGGGACACTACGTATAGTCGCGGCAGAGAACGAGTCGTTTGCTGATTCTTTCGTCCGCGGCGAAGCGCAGGACGCAAATTCCGAGAAGCGCATATAAACCAGCTGCCATAGAGACCCGGAGATTCCACACGCTTGGAATTAATATTAGCCGTGCGTCGCTAACGCAAACGTCGCCGAGAAAAATCGCACTTGCTCGTCGATTCGCGAAGTTAAATAATTTCCGATGACATTCCATCGAATCGACGCGAGGGATTCGGCCTTTTCGCGCGTCACCGAAGGAATGTTTCCAAAATGCGCCGGGCAATTTTAAACTTGCAGACCCTACGCTTCAGGGTTCCCTTTGCGAAGCGTACGATAAGCTGCGGTAACTCGTAGTGTGAAGAATACAAGACAAAGACGTTTATCGGACCCTTGAAGTTACTGACACGTTGGGCGCAAACAGCAAAAGTTTCATGGCACGATACTCCTGCCGTTAGCTGCGAACTGGAGAACACAAGCGCGTGTCGTGCTGTTTGCCGCGTATCGGCCAGAAAAAGGGGTAAAACGGTTCGCGCGCCATTTTTGCCGCGGCGTAATGCCGAAATTAGCGCGATGCCATCGCGAGAAAGCGGATTAACGCGCGAGGAAAGGAAAGACATTGTACCTCTGGCGTACATAAGTTCGATTTGTGAAATTTTTGGAGAATTCAGACAATCGCCAAGCGTTCTCGTCCCGCGAAAAAAATCGGGACGTCGCTGTGCTACAGAGAATAATGTATGACCCTTCGATCAACGAATGATCGATCTCGAGAGAAAGAGACCGAGCGAGTTGGGGAAATCTTGAAGAATTTCAACTCTTTCGCGCTCGTTCGAAGACAAACGATCTCATCGACAACGATTCAACGCGTTTGAGACTTAATCGTCGACGATGAAGAACAAAAAAATAAATAAAAGATATCGTAGAAGAAACTTCATCCCGACAGCGTCCTCGATGCAACGCGGACGCCGCGGACGCCGCGGACGAACGGGCCGCGCGTCTGTACACGAAGAGGCTGGTACGTGTGCGCGTGCACATCCGTGGGACCTTGAATCAAGCGGCCTTTGTCGCGAGAGAGCCGAAGAGCTCGGCCGGCTCGCGCGCGAGGTCGGCGAAAGTGTACCCGAAGCTCCCCCCCCTTTTTTTTTGCTCGCGGCCGCCGAGAGCGCGAGCGGCGCTCATTTTTGCCCTCTTCCTTTTCCCGAGCCTCGGCTGGAGCGGAACTCCCTGGAGCGACGGAAACGGACGGAAGGAGATGCGTTTATTATTAGATCTCGGCTCGTCCGATTCCCCGAGCGTCGCGGACGGCTAATGACGACTGTTTACGGTGCTGTTGTGAACACCGATGACAGACAGCGCGGGGTGACAATAGGACATCGCTATATTGACCGCGACGCGCGTTCCCGGACGGTGGAGAACGGGCACCGCTTGCGCTCGCACGCGGGCAGTCTAGGCCTTCCACTGGCCGTCTATCGCGCCCTCGCACTTGAACGATTTTTCGGGATCTACCGCTAAGACGGAGACTACGCGACGCCCCGTGTCGGAGGGCAGTTTTTACGGGTCCCTAGTTTTCACTACACGCGCTGGCGCTCGGCCCTCATGACGCCCGAATCGGAGTAAACGGGGTCAGGCGGCAAGAGAGAAGAGAGGGACGCTTCCGCGTAATTATTTTTACCGGGCTCGATCTCCTCGCGACACACACCTAGCGGGACCAAACGGATCCTCCTGCCTCCCTTCGTCCTCAAGGTGTTTCACCGGTTCTCGCAACCGCGGTCCGCGGCTCCCGTTCTAATGGATGCATCGCGGAAACAAAGAAGCCGCGCGCTGCCATCGAGTCGGGCGGCCGAAGCGGGCGGCCGAAGCGGGCAAGGCGGGCTATAACACACGGGGGTGGGAGGACCGGCACTTCTAGTCGCGTCCACCCGGTTGCCAACCGACGTCGAGGTCACTTGTTGCTGTACGATTTTGCGTACGGTACCGTTGAATCCGCGGCGCGGCCTCTTCCACGTCTTCCGATCTCGTCCTTTTCGCGGGGGAGGAGAGGGACGGCGAAAAAAAAAACCGCGGTCGCGGTCGCAAAATGTGTTTGACGGTCGCGCACGCATACGCGACGCATTCGGCCGCGCACTGATTCGCGCGCGCCACAACGCACGCACGTTCGCCGGCCGGCCGGCTGCGGGCTCTTCGTATGCACGTACCGGGTGTCCCGGCTGTTCGCCGCGCCGTCTCCCGGCAGCGGAAGAAAAAGGACGCGGACCGGCGCGACGACCGGGAGAACCTGGAAGGATCGCCCAGGTTTCAGCAAAAGAGATGTTTCGGCGACCTTTAAACCGACCCTATTCCGGGGGGCGATGGAAAGGAGGATGCCGCCGTCACGGCGACGTCAATGTCGGTCGGATACTTAAAAAAATGAGGACGTGCCACCCTGTATGGACTGCGTGAGTGCACATGCGCATGCGCGCGCGCGCGCTCTTTCTCTCTTACTTTCCTTCTTTCTTTCTCCTACGAGATACCGCAAAGTACGTCGTGACGACGTTACGAGCATCGCGCGTACGAGAGCTGGTCACACGCTCGTTTACAAACGGCGGTGACGAGAAGCACGACGGCGACGACGACGATGACGACGAGGACGAAGAAGACGATGGAGTACGCGACGACACGCATCGTAAAACACGCATATCTGGTGTAGATGCGTAACGGTTCGTGTAAGGGTAGGGGGACGGACGAAGGCTACGCGGGGGCAACGGCGACTGGGAGTATCGGGGCGAGGAGGGCAGCGCAGGCAGGGCGGCAGGAGGGCTTTCGCAGCGTTAACCCACCCACACAGGCGCGCGATATCGGAAATGATATAAAATTGCGTCGAGCGCGACGCTGATATTTAAATTGGTTCGCTAAACCACGGATTAATGCGCGCAACGACGTCCGAGCCCACGCACAGGCTTCGGAAAAAGAGTTGCTGCGTAAAAAAAAATATGCGGTTAAATAGACGGCGATCCGACGACTACCACGAGGCCTCGCGCTTGTTTTTCCCCCTTTTTTTAAATAAAAATGAATATCTCTCGCGGCAACAATTAAGTGCGAAATGTGTAACGCGAATACGCGAGTCTTATTGATCAAACGATTCGAGAGCTCGCGACGCTTCCGAGACGAAGGATGCGATTGGGAACGTCGGCTGGAGATTTCAGTTGATTAAATAAGCATTGATTTGAAATATGAGAAGTCAAGTTAGATCGACAAACCTGCCACTGATATTGGTACATTTTTTGTTTCGGATTATTAAAATGTGTTCGCTCTTTGAGGCGCTATTTGGAAACTAAAATATTTTTGCGTTGCGTAGGGTAAGCGAACCTATTTCAGAACACTTTTTAAAAAACTTGCTGTATCTTTTACATAAAGTCTTCTAAAATAAATCTGATACACGCTAGTTAAGGAGTCACCCTTTAACTATTAATTAGGCATAAACATATATTTGAAGAAGACTTTGTTTTTAAATGGCAGAAGCTCCCAATTTTAAACCAACTTGATAATTAAAAATAATTCTTAAAAAATAATTTTTTAAATAATTTTTCTAAGCGGTTGTTAAGAAATTGTGATAAGAACGCGTCTGTTTAATTTAAAAAAAATACAAGTAGTTTAAAGCAGGATAAATTTACAAGAAATGAAAAAGTTTGTGAAAGAGACATGCATTTTGGACTATTTACAAAAAAATAGAATTTGAAGTAATATTTCAGGAAACTATAATAAATTGCCTTTTAGATAGATATTTTAGCTGCTAGAATCAATGCATAATTATAAAATAATGAATCATTCAATTTTACATCAAGCGCAAACTGCCTAACCTCAGCCTACAATTGTCAGTTTTCACATACAGCCGCATTTCGCAACAACATAGTTTAATAATTCAATTAAGCAACGATTATCTTCCCTGAACCTTTAACTGTTGTTTAAGTCCAAAACATAAGTGAACGAGCAAGTAATATAAGAAAAATATGAAATTACTGTAATTGCCGTAACTTATCCCACTCAGAAGCGCGCTGTCATGACACCCAATAACAAAAATATGCTGTTATTAATTAATTTCTATATCTACTGCTCTTTTCTCCACATCATAAACTTTATTTATGATGCTCTTTATCACCAGCATCAAAATTTGACATTACGTGACAGCTAACAGGAGAAAAATTAAAGTGTTCCGAAATAGGTTCGCTTACCCTATAATGCGCTAACGCGCGCGCCTTCACTGCTTTTCTTACTTATTTCTTGATTACAATTTGATATATAATTTTCTATAATTCTTTATATAAACCATGAGTGTGACGGTTACAACAATTTATATAAATTAATATAAAACTTTTGTCACGTCATCTAGCAAATGCGACACACTTCGGCCTGCGAGACTCGCAACGGCTAATCGGCATCGCGGAAAAGCTGCGACAGTACCGCGCGATCGAGAACGCACTTTGGGCGTTTCATGACTTTTTTTTTTATAGAGGAGGGTACAAAAGCTCACTCTCACTCGTAATTATTTTTTCTGTGCAGCTTGTCTAACGCTTTAGGGGACTAGTCCCGAAGCGTTTAATAAATAAAGATTGTCTTCTATTCTATTTCCTCCCCCTCGACATTCCGTTTACTTTTCACTCGTTCATTTCTCCGATTCGTGCGTTTCACCGCTGAGGAGAACAAACGAAGTCTTTTTTTAGTCATTTCGCACGTCCGGTTCACACAAGAGAACTATCGATATCTCAGCGCTATTCCTTTCAGCTAACACTAGTGCAGCTGGTACAGCTCAGCTGAACTAGTACTAGCTGCACTCGTTCGGCAGAAACGCACAGATCTAACTCCTCAAAGCGGCGCGGCAGTTTCAAAGTTTTCAAAAAATCTATGTTGGCGTCCCGTGCTCTCCAAGTTTCCCCAGTTATTTACGCCTGTCTGTACTCCTCAGTTTACTGTAATCCGATATTTTCTACTAGCGAGCTGCGTCGCTCGTCCGCACAGACAATCTCTAACTTAAAAGCTGATAACATCGATCGGTTTAAAGATATCGTTACCGTCGTACAAGGACGAAGTTTACCCTCGCCTTTTGCGACAATTGCGAATAAAACGAACTGTTGTTCACTATCCACTAACGATCGTAACTGCTCCACTTGAGATGATTTCGGTATTTGTTTTCGTCGAAACAGCACGCGGAAATGGTTTCGCGCGCACTCTTTGCGGTGAACGTAAACATATCGATTCGAATTCGAAGGCTTTCGCATTCACCCGCAACACAGCGTACGCCAACAAATCCGAGGAACGACATGACGTACGAAACTGAGCCAAGATTTATACGAGGGAGGCTTGTAATAAGAACGACGGTGGCGAAAAGATGGAGTGGCGTTCCTTCCGAAACCCGGGCAGCCGGGGCCCCGGGATTGCGCGGGTAAAATCCCGCTGACGGAAATGGAGTAATGCGTGCGTTAAGAACCTGTTTCCCCACACACACGCGCTGCGGTGCGTAAGCCGAGCCTAGGAGGGAGCGGATTCTTTCGGGGAGGAACTCGCCAGACGTTGTCCCGTTCCTCACACGTCCCGACGGCGACGCCGACGCCGACGTCGGCACACGAACACGTTTCTCGTTTGGCGCACCGCGAGACTCGTAAAACTTTCGCAGCACGATACGTGCATGCCGTGTTCGAGGACACTACCGTGAACCGCCGCCGGCTACACGGGTAGAGGAGGTTGACGGCGGCGGCAGCGGCGGCGACAGTGGTGGTGGTGGTGGCGGCGACGGTAGTGGTGGTTGCTACGAAGCCACTGGCGCTGCTCGTGCCCGACCTATTGGTGGTGGTGCACGAAGAGTGGTGGTGGTGGTTTTGCTAGTGATGGCGATCAAAACGCGCGACTCCGATGAACCGGAGGATGCACAAATAATCTTTCCGCTCGGAGTCCTTTACTGGGACTCAGATCCGCATTTATGCGACACTGCGGGATACACTGACGAGTCCTTCGCGAAATATCCGATTTTGTACGAAATCGGACGATCCGACACCGCGCTCGAGGCGTTTACCGATTTACTCCCTCTTAACTCGACCGAACCACCTTCTCGTAATTATCAAACGTCCGATAGATCTCTCGTACCGAGGAATCGCCTTGTCGTGCGCACACACACTCTCACTTTGAACAAGTTTTTCATTCACCACCGCTCGTCCTGAAGTTTTGTCCTCACGGTAGCGCGTGAAGTCAACATCAGTTGACGGAAGTCAACTGACGGTAAGTCATCTAGCGGAGAGAAGAGTGATTCCGTGTTCCCTCTCCTTCTCATTATGTCCTCCCCGCGCAGGATAACTCACGCTGGATACCTATTCCGAAAATTCGCGACGCAATGGTAACTGCGTCCAGGATTCAAGGATCACTTGTCGGCGAGGGATCCCTAGTGTCGTGCCACCGTATCTCCCACATCGCAGGGAAGGCCATCGCAGTGGTTTTAGCGGGTTATCCCGGCACCGCATAACCCGGCTCTTCCCCCGAAGAGAGTCGGGTATCCGAAGGGATTCCCACTACGTATAAAAAATAAAATTTCACCCATGTAAATCCCGCGAATCCGTGCTCTATAGTTTTTTTTCAATGGTCGAACCGAACGAATTTGTAATCGCGACGACTCTTGCTTCCCGCAATTTTTTCGAGAATCTCCGATATCCCGTGGCTGCCCCGGATAAAATCTTTATTTCCCTCCTATCTCCTTTGTCCTTCGCACCGTAGACCGTTCGTTTCACACACCACCATGCGTCGCTTTACTTCCTAATACTATTCACACGACGATTTTCACACTCTTTCCACCCCCTCTCTCTCTCTCTCCCTCTCTCTCTCTCTCTCTCTCTCTCTCTCTCTCTCTCGCTCTCTCTCTCCTCTCTTTCTGTCTCTGTCCGTCCCTTTCGACACTTTGGCCCGTTCTTGTTGGTCCATCGGACTTTCAACGAGTCGCTTATACCACTGCTTTACCCCTTCGGGTCGGTGTTCATTGTAAAGTCGTTTGGGGTGAAGCTCGACGGGAGGACACCGGACTTCCAACCTTTGGTACGGCGCGATTGGATGTTTTCAAAGTCGCCGAGGGAATTCTGTGAGTCAAATTGTCGAGAGGAGAGCGAGGACGGGCTTGGGGTGGGGGGGGGGGGGAGCAGATACCCCGTAGATATTTTCAGGAGGAAATGTTTCTGATGCTATTTGCCGAGGGATCAGTCCACTCGCGCGTGAGTAGCAATTCTTGGGCCCGCGCGAACGTCCGATAAGTCCATGCATCGATCCTCGATGAAGAGAGATCTTTTTACATTTCGGTTCCGCATATTGCAAAACAAACGTTTACGTAATGGGATTCTTTGCCGTTTCCTCTTCTTTGATATCTCAGTCAATACCCGTGAGGGAGGTACATAACGTACAAAAGAATAAATATTTGTACGCGTAGCGGAAAAGCTAAATTGCCTAAAAACGTATCGTAAGCGATTTTACACCGACTTGTTTAGACGTCAGACGTTTCATTCGCAATAATATTGTGCGAGCAGGCAAACTTATCGTGCTCTTCTTGTCGATCGAATTCCATTATCGCGTAATTCGGCGCCGGGAATTTGAGCGTGAAATAGTATTCGCCGAAGTTATCATCCGTGGAAGAGAGTAACGCCGCGCGAGCTCCTCGGCTGATTTATCCAGAGGAACGACCTTTCGGGGCCGGACCTTGAGATATTCCGCCGCAAAACTTTGCGCGCCCGCGAAATTATTACACCCTGCCGCGAGAAGAACGAAGAAACTTGCGGGGGAGGAAAATTCTTCCGCCTGCAAACTCTTGAGGAGCAGCGACTGTAGCTATTAAAACGACACTATATACATCAGAGATCATCGAGCGGTTATCCGAATGCCACGGAGGAAAGAAATTTCATTTTATTGCGAAGGAACGTACAATTACCTGACGGTTAAAACGCAATCTTTGTATATTACAATAAGAATAATACACTTGTGCAATTTTCTCCTCCTTTCTGTGACTCAGTATAGCTATTTTACATACATATCTGTACAGTGATGGACAGAATAGTTGCGACCCCCAGACAAAAGTTTATTTGAAATCAAACCAATTTGTTTGAATTTTGATCTTACCGGACTCTTATCTAATTTCAAAGAATTGATTTCTTTATCTTAACCAAAATTTTATTTGATCGAAACTGGAATTTCTAATTCGTATCTATTTCTTTAAATCTGGCAAATGTTTTAGTACAAGTAAATAAAAATTTTGTAGATCCCAAGAAATACAATTTTAACGTTTCTCATTTGTTTAACCTAACTAAATCTGTCTTCTGGGTGCGTAAGTAACTTTTTACTGTTTCTGCAATTGTGCGATTGTCAATTATAACGTTGTACAAGAGTGCTCTTCTGATATTAAGTTTTCTTTTAATTAAGGGGATGCTGGAGTGATTCTGCACTTTCGCACCTTTCTAACCTAAAAACTGTCAGTTCGCGGAAACATTTGTGTAATATACAAATTAAATGGCTTACGTGTACAGATCGAAAGCAGCTTGCTATTCCGGCCAAATGAAAGAACAATATGGCATCACTGAAACTAAGTTTGTAAGCCTAATAAAAAATAATAGTGAGCAACACACATACCACATGTACTGTATGTATGTGTTGCTCACTATTATTTTTTATTAGACCTACAAACTTAGTTTCAGTGATGTCATATTGTTCTTTAATTTAGCCGGAATAGCAAGCTGCTTTCGATCATCTGTACACGTGCCATTTAATTTGTGTATTACACAAATCTTTCCACGAAACAGACAGTTTTAAGTGCAAAAGGTGCGAAAGTGCAGAATCACTCCAGCATCCCCTTAAGAACGCGGGAGATTGTAAGGAAATAATCTCGTTATTAACACGCAAATATAATTAACGAGATTGAGAATCAGATAGAGATATCATCGCTCTCTGAACTTGGCCATAGAGGAGATGTTGCGCTACATTCTGACTCAGCATCCGGGCGATGTTATAACCCCGAGGTTCAAATTTATTGTCAGCCTCGGAGGAATTTTCTCGGAGCTTATTTTGACAAGCTTTCGCCGAGGTTAATTCCATTCGCGTGCTTTCCCTCCTCTTCCCCCGCCTCGCCGATTCCGCGGAGCTTTTTTGAAAATTGCCTCGATTTTACGCGCGCTCCTGATTGCGTCATCCGTCGTGAAATCCTTTTATGCTCTTCAAATCTTCGCCGGGGGCTTTCGCGAGGTAGCTCGCTGAAATTTCTTTTCATGGTCACCGCCGTTTCGCGCAGACCGCCGCTGCCTCGGACCGCTTCCCCGAGGTTTTCCCACACTATCGTTTAATTCTCTCGGCTCGTCTTTTTTCCACCTAATAAACGCCGTCAGCTTCTTGACAGATCCCCCCCAGCAGCCAGCGACTGCAGCCCGACTTTTTCATCTCCATTCTGCTTTTTAAACTTTCGCAGTCTCCCCCTTGCGTCCCGCGCGCTCAACGTTTTCCGCCTGCGACGAATGCTCCCCATTTCAAGGTTGATTATACTTTCAGTGGAGCGTTAGACGACGGGGATTCTTCAAATATGCATAGGAGTGCTGGTTCTATACTATTTCTTCATTCCGGTAAATCCGTTTTCGAACTAGGGCGGAGGTCCACATTGTAAATTGCAATTGAGGCTTGCGGCGGGAATATATCTTGCATCAAGTTTACTAAGTTCAACGCAAGAAGATAACATCCCACGATAACATCTAGGTGTATAAATTTTAACGTAAGAACTGTACCGTTAATCGTACGGCAAAATCAACACTTTAATCTGTTATACATTAAATACGCACGATTTTTATTTATAATAACGGGCTATTGAGCATTGAACTGTGCAAAAAGACAGTGTTGAAAAAAAAGCACTAGAACGGAGGTTGTCGTTTGGCGTAGTCTTTTTGGATCGTTGAATTCGATCTCGTTTATTTGTGTGTTGCTCTGTCGCGTCACAATTTTGAAAGAATTGCGATTAAACCCTTACAGGAATGTACAATACTGGGAATCAAAAAAGCACCGAAATAATTACTAGAAACTCAGTAATTGAATCATTAGAGAAGTACTAAAGTACGGTAACTTTTTAGTAATTATTTCAATGCTTTTTGGGTTTCTAGTATTATATTTCTGTAAGAGGTAAGTTGCAAAAGACACTTTGGCATGTAATTACGATATGTGAAAAGGCTATAGAGAAGTTTTATTTCACTCAAAATTAAATCTATGTTAGAACTTGGAAGAATTTATTGTGTTGAATATAATTGGAGAAATTTATGCTTATAGACATAAGGTCTATTGCGTCAAAGTCGCGATTTATACAAGTCATTATAATAGACAATATTCGGCGCTTTCCCGACACAAGTATCGTTTTATCCTTGTTGCTCATTGGACGTTGAAAAGACAGGCTGTCGTCTGTGTCGCTAAATGGAAAGCACCGATAAACCACAAATCATTTTTAACCACAGTGAACACAACAAATCCCTTTCAAGAACCGAAGGCCCCTCACAATAAAATTAATTCTACACTAAAACTTCTCCAACGCGGCGAACCTTGTAGTTGTAACACACCAAAGTGCACTAAAATAGTTTTTTTAACTGTAACTGCAAATGTCTCAAATTTGAGACGCGATGGGGCAATTTGATAGACGTATCGCATTCAGCGGCCAGAAAAAACTGCGGGAAACAATTATTTCATTTTTCGCGGTCGAAAAAAATCATTTTTTATTTTTTTTGCGAAACAGTGAAACGGACGAAAGAAAGCATCGACCTGCTTATTGCAGCCGAGACTCAGAAGAGATACGAGAAATGCCTGGTAACTCTCGCGCTCGCTCTAACGACCACATTTAACCGGAGCGTTGTAAATATTTAGTTCTTTAATTCTCCCGCGAAGTGCCTCGAGTCTCTCGTCGGCGATTGCGGTCGTGTAATTTTCAACGCTACGCCGTATAATGCGGTACCGTTCGGAAAGTTCGCCACGCTGAAACCGAGAGAGCGATATCCGCGTTCTAAACGTCGCACTTGTCGCCGACCACTTGGCTAACGTGTTACCTGCGGTTCCCTAGGCGACGCAAATTATAAGTTCTGCCCTTGAGGTGGGTGAACGACTCAATTTGCTTGTTCGACACCGCGCTCGAATCTAATTGGTTTCGCTTGCGCGTGACCGCGTTCTCGCGTACCCGCTCGCGAGTGCGTTAATAGCCCGCGGATTTTTAAATGTCGCCGCGTCTGAGAGTCGACCGCGGCAAAGAGAGCGCGGCGGGCTCCGATATCCGTAAATTACATGCATAAGTTCGTTAGGAAAGCTTAAGCTCGCGCAAAAAAGGCCGCGGCGAACGAATCCTAAACTCGCTTGGAAAAAGGCTTACGTTAAAAGCATAGTTGGCGGAGCATGATCCACTTGGCGCGACGCCACTTTTCGCAGAAATTTAATATAATTCCAAACTGTTTAATTGATCCCCGACGATGGAATCTGAAAAATCGAATTAAAGCGCCAGCGTCAAATAAATAATCCTTTTGCCACTGTTCGACGAGCCAGTATAATCACTTTGCCGTAATTGCTTCTCATTCGCGTTCGTTTCAAAGCCTATTTTAATACAATCCACGCACTATTGTCGAATCGAGTTGCGCTGCAAACGTTTTGACGCGTACTTTGATTCGTTTCGATATCGCCGCGTATACCTCGGATTTAATTGGCGCCCCGAGATTTAATCAGCGTCTGCCGCCGTCGTGCTGTCGATCGCTTAATTTCTGATATTCTTGAATGTTACGACGCTTCAAATGGGCGCTCGCTTGTAATATCATTTCTACGAGCGA